GTCAGGGCTGGCCCCAGGGGGGCGCTAGGGGGCGCTGAGCTGCAGGGTGGGGGGCTCAGTGGGGGAGGCCAAGCACGGGGATAAGACGCTGCATCGCCCGGCTGGCGGAGCGGCTGGATGCCCACCCTGCGGGCGCTGTGGCTGCTGGACCCCTGACAGGCTGGCGCCCGGGGCTGGCACCGGCACGAGCAGAAGGAGATGCTGCCCGAGCTGGCCCCGGTGCCCGATCCCGGTGCCAGCCCCTGCCCACAGCGGTGCCCAATGACGCCCCCCTGGGGCAGGGGTGGGAGGTGCAGGCCCAGCACGTGCCCATGCTCTGCCCCCGGCCCCACCTCTGGCTGCCTGTCAGTGCCCCAGAGTCGCCCTTCCCCAAGCGGGGCGAGCGTGCCACCTGCTGACCATGCCATGTGACCTGTGCTGACCTCTGACCTCACACCCTGCTGCCCCTGCCCCCCCAATCCAGGGTCTCCGAACCTCGTCAAATCACCTGTGTGTGTGTGTGGGCGGGGGGGTTGCACAGGTAATACTCCCTGTACTTTGAATTCAGTGGTTAAGGGGGGGCAATGGGGGCTGGGAACACAGGGCACGGGGGCCTCAGATGTCAGGGATCTGTTGGCACTGGGAAGGGGGAGTTGGGAGAGTGGGGGGTGATTACCTCCCCCTCCCTTGGACAGGTAGGTGGGAGAGTGGGGGGCTGCCCCCATGGATGATACCAACCCCCTTTGCCCCATGGCTACTGGGGAGAGGCCATGGAGGCCCTGCCAGGCTAGGAGGGGTTAAGGAGCTGTCACATGGGGGGGGGGGGCAGAACCACGTGCCTCCCCGCCCAGCTGGAGTTGCGGAAGCAAAACCCTGGGCAGGGCCAGCTGCAACCCCAGTGTGAGTGCTGCAGGCCCGGATTCGAACCCCGCTCTGGGAGAGGAGTGGGGCTGGTGGGTTAGAACGGGGGGCTCAGAGCCAGGACTCCTGGGTTCTCTCCCTGGCTCGGGGAGGAGGGGGGTCCAGCAGTAAGGGCCGGGAGCCAGGACTCCTGGGTTCTATCCCTGGCTTGGGGGGGGGGGGGGGGGGGGG